AGCTTCTTCGTCCGGACCATGGTAAGGCCGGTTCCAGCGATTTTCCAGCTAATTATTAGGCCGAGGGCACGGAGCACAGGCACTACACGTCTGCTCCCATGCACGGTCCGGCCACGCCCCTGCCCTATTCTATTTCAACTAACCCAGTGCCTGTTTGTCCCCAAACGGGAGCTAACACCCCTTAACCCCCTTTTACATGGGGGGAGGAAGGGGCAAATTAGGCCAGGTAAGCAAATTAAAATTGCCTAATCCTAAAATGGCTGCCTATTTATACTGGGCTAACCCCTTAACAAATCAACTCCTAATTCCTGGGGGCCTTCCCCCTATGCCCGGCTCTCAGCTCTGTCAGGCCCCTTTCCACTAAGCTGCACTTGTTCCATTGGGTTATAATTTGACAGAAACACAAGACTGAATGCAACTGAATTCAATTAAAGCTGTCAAAACTTGTGTACTCTTTCTCCATATCCAAATCAGCTTATTCGGCTTCCAGCAAACTCTTTAAATTTAGCATCTTTTACCCAATCAAGTCACACAATGTAAATACATGCATGTGATACCATATGCAGATATACTTTTTTTCTGTCCTTATTTATTTAAGTTTGAGAAACTCACCAATTAATTATTATGGAATCGACTTACAAGTGTACAGAGTCATGTGTGGTGCATTCACTACAAACACTTGGATTGCACAAAGTGAAACCTGTATCCTGACCAAGCTACAGGAGATTCTATAGAGCAGTACACATAACTGTGTTTGGTCTATACCTGTGGAATACAGCTGGATGTGGTACATATTTCAAACTCTCTGCTTTATAGTAAGTGTCCAGATCATTACAGAGACTTTAAGTAATAGGAACCAAAGAGTGGTGACATAGCTGACCCAGGAAGCAATTCATTAGACACGTTTGTGGTGTGTTGAGGGCATTAAGATCACCGTCTGCATGGTCAGCCTTGAGTGGGGCTGGCTTTGAGGCAGCCATGTGTTCTCTGGTGTGACCCTAATCCCCTTCTGGATGGTACTGCCCAAAGTGGACATCGCCAGTGACACAACTGGCATCACTGATTCACAACCCTAGTCCACCCACTACCTGTCCTGCTTTCATTCCTCCCAATGTTCGAAGGTGTGTGTGTGTATGGGGGGGGGACGACATCCTGCTTTACTCATTATTATTATTATTATTATATTTTTAATGTACTTCCAAATCACTCCTATTTGCTTATATTTTGTGCAATCCAGAACAGGATCCCCTGGAAGGAATTGCTCGGTCTACCTTTCCAGTGGGTGTAGATCCCTGCCAGATCTTGTTTGGATGTTACATTACTCATATACAACAAATATCACCACATTGAACAGTGTGCTGACATCCAGAGGTGCGTAAAACACGCTCCCATGCAAAATAAGCAAAGCTGGGCTGGTCGTAAAAAATGTAAAATATGTCCATGACAACTAGCGAAGCTACTGGAAGCCCTCTTTGGGTTGGTGCTTCTGTCTTGCAGTAGTGCCAGTCCTGGGTGGAGACCAAAGAGATAGAATAAAGGTTGAAGATAACTGGGGTAATTTATATTTCTCCACTTCACAGCAAAAAAAAAAAAAATAGTAAAAAAAAAAAAAATAGCTAATTGACACTTCACTGGATGGGTGAGCATCGTGAGAAAAGTACTTCAATCATCTGATATTGCTGTTTAAAGATACATTCACAGTGCACAAACATGAATAATATTTATATTAGAATACATTGTAATTCCATTCATTTGTATGTTCCGCTGTACCTCTTATGTGTATGTGGTGAATGTTACCATGTAAATAACTATTGTAATCAGTGCACTTTGTATAAAAATCTGTTTTAAATGTGAGTTACCCAAATGCCCTGAAAGCCAGAGTTCTTGAATTAATTCAAGCAGTTTCTTTACGTCTATGACATCATGTATTTGAATAGATTCTGCCGAATGTTTCGTTGCTGTGCAAAAAGAAGAAAGGAAAAACAAAACAAACACCGCTCCATTTTGTGATTGTTATGGATTTAATTAACATTTCAGACTAAATAAACTGCTGAATAGCTTTTAACGAGCTTATAATTTTATATGTTTTTAAAGGATTAGTCCAAGCACCATGACTGCTATGGCATACAGAGTTTAACCCCTTTGCTGCCGGAGGTAGCTAATATAAATTCTATGCAAATTTTCATGGACAGTGTGCCGTTCATTGGCTGAGAACGATCAGCTGACGCTCTCAAACAATGCGTGGCAACTGCATTGGCTTCCCCTGCTGCACAATAGACCCGGAGTTCCGCCCCTTAAAAGTTTGCTCCATTACCATCAAATGGGGCCATTTGGCATCATAACCAGTGCAGCGGACCGACGTGGCTATGATGCTTGCTTGCAATAACCCATAAGCTATGGCAGAGCTGACTTGAAGGATTGTTCTACTTCATTTCCATTTGAATTAACTTTAAATACTCACTTTAGTAGGTAACCTCTTCAGGTTTTGTATCCTCAGTAAGAGAGCTGATATCTTCCTGACAGCGATTTATGCTTTTTTTGCACAGTTTTTCATTTGTATTAAGGACACCAATATAAAAAAAAAAACACCTACTTTCGAAATGTGTTTTTCTCAAAAGAGCTGCTGATTAAAATGATCCTCTAAGGAAGCCCAGGTACAGAGCAATTGGCAGTTAGGTTATGTTTTGTGTGTGAACGTACAACTTGAAGTTTGGTTGTTTTCTTTTTTTTCTAAATCATAATACACATTTTATTATGAAAAACATACACAGTGGTGTGCTATGGAAAAATTACATCATTCAGGGGTTCTGGATAAACTGAAACAACTCTCATGGTAACATGGTTTATGTTCATGGCTTATGTATGTACTGTTTCTCTCTCTCATGGGTCCCGAGATATCCTGGTTTGAAGGCTGACAGCAAGCCTAAAAAAATAAATAAAATAAAAGTGTGTGTGTGTGGGTGCGCGTGCGCGCGATGTGTGTGTGTGTGTGTGTGTGTATTTCTCCAGAGTATTTATTATACAGCAGAAATACCTATGAATATTTTACAAGTATAGGGAACCCAACAACCAATGCCTTCAGATTCAAATTTAAAGTACTGTTTTTAATTTCAAACTTGAAATATCTAAATAAATCCTTCTCTACCTGTCACATTCCATTTCTAACTGTGATTGACATTTTGTTTTTCTTGGCTCTGAAATGATGTAATAAAGAGGTAATGGGAGTCCGTGTGCTTTAAAGACAACAGAGGCAGAATAACCCTCCAAACATAAGAATTCATTCAAGGACAATCATGTTCCCTCTGTTGACAGTAAGTTTCATAGAAACCTAAAGGTAATAGTATGTTCTAAAGCATTTTTTTTAAATTCACTGGCATGCTCAAATAGCTTTAACCTTTTGTGCCATGTAATTGCATTTTGGAATCTATGAATAATTTGTATAAAGTAACAAAATCCAGAGCATACCAAAGTTTATAATATAATTGACATGCCTGGTGTTATTTAAGGTCCCAAGCTGGCCCAGGTCTGATTTGATTATCTTGTTCAATCGCACCTGGATGAGATGACATAGTTCTGCTATTGTTCTCAGCCGTCTAGAGCTGCTGTGGAAAGGCTGGGAAATTAGTAATGTCAAGCCACAGATCCTGGATGTCTTAAAAGACAGGCCTATGTATTTTTTTTCTGTCCTTTAAGGATTAACAACATAAGGAGGTTTAGTTGGACCTCTCGAAAGTAGATATTGTTTTAGAAATACATGTAAGTGGACGTTTATATCGTTCAGCAGGGAATGACATCTTATTAGGTCAGGGATTGAGTATTTGGGGGTAAGTGGGCACAGCGAAAAATAAGTTACAGTCAAATTCCGAGGGTAGAACCTTGCACCACACCATTTGTAAACTTCACTAGCTGCCAATGAATTTAGGGGTGTATTAAGAACAAATTATATCACATACAAAAAGAGCACACTGGCTATCATATACAAGTATTCACCATCATATAAATACATTGTTACTAGCAACTACATGTGAGTGATATGTTTGCATGTAGTATGAAGATGGCAGCATTTGCAGTCACCTTAATAGCAGTCATTTTGCCCACTGCAGAAACAAACATATCACACATGCATCCACACTATGCATGAGGAATAAGAAGACTTTCAATACAGCAAGAAAGAGATATAGAATACCAGCAAGACAACACAGAAATAACAAAAAACATAGTTTGCTAACAAAATAAGAATCGAAATATCAATAACGACCGGATGACCTACAAGTCTACAGTGATGGAACACACGCATAACATCGCGATGGACAATCTGCAGAACGACGTTAATCAAATGAACAGATTTGAGGTCAGTTATCAAACTATTTCACCCAGACAGGAAACCAGATTACCTAAACATCGACCACAGCAACAAAAGCTGGCACCCAGCAAGCAACCAGAGTAACCAGAAGAAACAAGAAGTGAAGTCAATCCAGCTACACCACTTAACAGAAGAAAACAGACAGCCATTCTCTTTTTTTGGTTTTCAATAAACATTGTCAAACTGAGAAGAGGTTTTTGTGTCTTCTTTGTAAGTTACTTATTGTTGGCAGTGTTGTGAACTGAATTGTAATTTTTGTATAATTCTTTATTTTTTTGTGTGTAGAGTAACATACAGGCTTGTACTGCCACAACAACAGGTACAAGCTTATAAGAGCAATTTCAGATAAACAGTATTATGACAGTTGATAGGTCAGCACATTTTTGGGGTTAATAAACATGTTTCACAATTCTACCATATGATGAAAGCAGGTAAAGATTTCACAATACCGTGCAGAATTAGATATAACATTCAAGGTTTTAAATACCACTGGGTGGTAAACTTAAATTGTTGCAGATAATTAGTTGTAATTAGTGATGTCCCGAACTGTTCGCCGAACGGTTTGCGAACGGTTCGCCACGAACGGTTCGCCACGGACTCATCATTGAGTAAACTTTGACCCTGTACCTCACAGTCAGCAGACACATTCCAGCCAATCAGCAGCAGACCCTCCCTCCCAGACCCTCCACCTCCTGGACAGCTCACTAAGAATGCAGCTTCACAATGGATGTGAAGCTGCATTCTTAGTGAGCTGTCCAGGAGGTGGGAGGGTCTGGGAGGGAGGGTCTGCTGCTGATTGGCTGGAATGTGTCTGCTGACTGTGAGGTACAGGGTCAAAGTTTACTCAATGATGAGTCCATGGCGAACCGTTCGTGGCGAACCGTTCGTGGTGAACTGTTCGCGAACCGTTCGGCGAACAGTTCGGGACATCACTAGTTGTAATATATGATCAGGGCACAATCACAGTATTAGCAGAAATAGATTCAAATAGCTGCACTGTCAGTTAGTTATTTAGGAGAGAACCTGATCTATCACTGTAACGTGGACGTGTGTAAGCTTAGCCTAAAATCCACTTTGTTATGTCAAGCGGGTGCTGCATGGTAGTAGGAAGGCTCTAAATACTAGAGACTGAGCTAGATAGGATAGCTGTTCTGTTCTTATACATTATTGTGTTATGTCAGGCTAAGCTCAGTGAAGCATGTGTATTGCCCCTAACCAAGGGGACGGGGGAGAGAGGGATTCTCTGTTTAATCGTGGTGGGTACAGCCAGTGGCAGATCCAGAGCCTTATCTCGGGAGGGGCACTTGTAGATTATTTAAAGAAATAATACAGGCACAATAACCACTACAGCTCAGCGTAGTAGTTATGGCTCCAGTAGTGCCAGGATCCCATCCCAGAGTAAGAAGTCAAACCGTTTAAGAACAGTTTGACAACTTACCTGGGGTCTGCTGGGATATAGGGCATAGGAGCAGTGGTATGTGTTAGGGGTGAAGTGTGTGTGAAAGGTGCAGTGTGTGTGTGAGCGGTGAAGTGTGTGTGCGAGTGCGTGAGGGTGGCAGTGTAGGTCAGGGTTGCAGTGTGTGTGTTAGGGGGCAGTGTATGTGTGGGGCAGTGTGTGTGTGAGAGAGCTGCAGTGGGGGTGTGTGTGTGTGTGTGTGTGTGTGAGCGATGCAATATGTATGTGAGGGTGGCAGTGTGTGTGTGTGAGAGTTGCAGTGTGTGTGAGAGTTGCAGTGTGTGTGTGTTTGGGGCAGTGTGTGTATGGGGGCAGTATTTGTGGGGCAGTGTGTGTATTGGGCAGTGTGTGTATGGGGGACAGTGTTTGTGGGGCAGTGTGTGTAGTGTGTGTATGGGGGCAGTGTTTGTCAGGCAGTGTGTGTAGTGTGTGTATGGGGGGCAGTGTTTGTGGGGCAGTGTGGTGTGTGTATGGGGGCAGTGTTTGTGGGGCAGTGTGTGTAGTGTGTGTTTGTGGGGCAGTGTGTGTATGGGGGCAGTGTGTGTAGTGTGTGTATGGGGGCAGTGTTTGTGGGGCAGTGTGTGTAGTGTGTGTATGGGGCAGTGTTTGTGGGGCAGTGTGTGTAGTGTGTGTATGGGGGCAGTGTTTGTCAGGCAGTGTATGTAGTGTGTGTATGGGGGCAGTGTTTGTGGGGCAGTGTGTGTATGGGGGCAGTGTTTGTGGGGCACTGTGTGTAGTGTGTGTATGAGGGCAGTGTTTGTATAGGGGCAGTGTTTGTATGGGGGGAAGGAGGGTAGGGTTGCTTTTTTAAAATTTTATTTAATTTAATTAAAATAAATATATTGATGTCCTCCCTCCCTTCTTACCTTTACTGGGAGGAGGGGGGACATTCTGGATCCCTCGTGGTCCGTGGGGAATCCCTGGTGGCCCAGGGCCTCTCTGCATTTCTCTCAGGTTCCCTGGCGGGTATCAGAGGTACTTCGTGAGATGAAAGTGACAACTGTGGCAGGATCCCAAGTTTGCTAAATGTGTTGCGGGGTTTTGTTATCAGTCAGTGGGGAGAGACCCAGTGCTCTGAGAAATGCTGGAGCTTCTGTAGCTGATGAAAGGTTGAATACAGTTCCCTCTTGGGTCTCAGGAGGGTCTTCGAGGGTCCCCATCTGTAGGCCAAACCCGCTTCTATGAGCCAGCTTTTCACCATGCTGAGAGACTTGCGCCACTGGAGTGTGGCTCTGGTGAGATCATGAAAAAAGGACAGATGAGAGTTCTCAAAGGGGTATGGTGGTTTACCCCTCACAGCAGTCATGAATTGTCCCTTATCTTGTAGTGAGGCACAGCGGACTATGACGTCCTGTGGTACAGCTGTCGTGGCCCGTTGGAGTTTCAAATGGCGGTAAGCCCCATCTACTGTGAATTTCCTGGCAACATTTCGGGGCAATACCACTGCAACTAGGTGTCTCACATAATGTGGTATTTCCTCTTAGGGAACCGTGTCTCGTATGCCGCGGATCTTGATATGGTTACTTCGGTATCTATCTTCCATAGAGGTTAGTTGTGTGTTGAGCGTCTGGTGGGAGGATTGGATTTGTGTAAATTTAACCTGGATAACTGAAAGGTCCCTGCACAGATCCATGATGTCCTCTTCATTAGCTTGGACTGTTTAATCTCGTGGAGGAAATTTTGAATGTCCAGCTTTGTGGCCAGGTCTGTCGCCTCCCGGGGTAAATCTAGAGAGACATGTGTTGCCGGTTCCAGGGGCTGTGGGGTAGGAGTGGACAGCTCTCTAGGGCTTGGTGAGGTTTCATGGTAGCCCTCTGTCACCATTTTAGTTTGGGGCTGCTGTTGGAGCATAGATTCAATATTCCTGGTGTCTGCTGCGGCCCCAGCCATCTGTTTCTGAGTACGACGTCCTATTGCCAGTTCGTTGCCAACCTGCACCATCTGATCATAGAGCTACTTAGCAGGAGATCCTGCTCGGTGGAAGTCACTGGGTAGCGCACTGAGCACAGCCCCAGGAGGTGAATAGCCTACTACCCTACTACAGGGCTGCGTTTCGATCGGGAGACCTTTGGTGTATTAAAAAATGGCATGGGTCTGATCGGTAGGACACCAAGAGGCAGATGCCAGGTACTTCGCTACCAAGAGGTGGTTAGGTATCAGACTTTTTGGGGGAATTGCAGGCAGTTGACTGGAGCGTCAAGAAATGGCGTCCGCTCTCCCTCACGAGCAAGTTCCACCCACCTTCATGGGACATATTTAAGACTAATTTATTATAACACACATTGGCTCGAATAATTATCATACAGGATATGATTGATATGAGATTAGTGATCAAGTTAAGCAGTGATATGGTATTTAGATACATTTGTTACTATAACCTTGCAATACTTGTCCAGTGTCACTTTATAATACATCGCAAAATCTTGACATAAACACACAACAGTTTAACTACAGATCAAAGATAGCTGATTAACTTGAAATGTTATTAAAATATTTATAGGAAAAAGATTTTCATAGTGAGGTTATATGATAGAGGGCAGACACTCTGTAGCCAATAATACAAGTAATGTATAATTGAATGAGTCTGTTACAGGCCTATAGACTTCTCTCACTACTGTTATCTGCTTCCTGTGGAACATTAATAATGTGGGGGTCAATTAGAGATGTATCTACTGGTATTGTATGGCAGACACCTCCAGTATGATTTAGACACCTAAACCTAGACTTTAAAAGTCAAAAGACCTTTTTTGATATAGATATTTTTATATGATTATATTTTTTAATATTTTAACGTATCTCTGTGGTGGTTTGAGTTCTGCACTCTCAATTGTGGGCTTGTGAAATGATTGCTCTACGTTTGCAAATAATTATCTTAAATGCCATCTATACTTGATGGCATTGACAGTAACAAGGTTTACATATGGTCTAAAATTTGTGAAGAGCATTTGAAGAATACAATCCATGTTGGCATTGATGGGATGGTACAACATTTTCCACTCCCTGAATAGTTTCTCCAAGTCTTGCGGAGCAATCACATTGAGAATGTCTTTTCTGACATATAAGTCAGTCTTTAGCCTGTTCCACTACTACTGTGTGCTGGAGAAATGTATGAATCTGTGGATGGAATCCTGGCGAATGTGGGCTATGATTGCCACAGGGGAATCCAGCGTTCAGTGTCACCATTGATGAGGCCATATATGCCATAGGTATGGTATGCTTAAAGGAGTAAATAAACAGCCATCTATTACCTTCTTGTCCAACTGGGAGCTACATCACCTTCTCCTTCCCTCCAGAAGAGAGCAGCTCCCATGCGGTGTGATGATGCCTTACTGAGGGAGCTCAAAATGTAATTTCCTGCTCCCTTCTGCAGTAGATTCCTAATATATTGCACTATGAAGGAGTGGCTGGCGCAGGTAGAAAAGTACAGACCAGCTCCTTTACAGAGACAATTTTCACCCAGGCTTTCAGCAATTACGGCTGGTTGATCAACTAATCCTTGGGGACCACCTGCAATATCTTCTGATGCTCAGCACGTATCGTGCTCCCTTTCATCACCTGAATCTGTGGCAGTGCGGAGACAGCATAGCTGCTGTTGTTCCTCGCAACTCCTAATAGTGGGCAGTGCTCTGCTGCCCGCCCCATGTTACATGCCTTATTCTCCAGTTAGGTGAGTTAGGTGACCACGAGACCTCAGTGAGTGCAAGGCCTTAGGCGGCCAAATCTCCTCAGTTTATTTTATTTTTAGTTTGTGTGTTGAAGGTAGGAGCACAAATTAAATCCATTATGATATAATTAAGCTAGGTAAAAATGCAAACTTTTCAGAAAAGCTTTGAGGGTTTATTTACTTAATGCTGAATGCCTACATCTGTTGATTTACTAAGTAGATGCTAAGTTGACTTTTTTACTGAAGTCTGAAGCTTACATTTTTCGTTGAATGGTAGTCAAAATACCCCTCAGTGGGTTTAACCCTCTCCAGATGTGTGACCCATAGGAACAAGAGCAACAGATGCGTTCCTTTAATATTAGGTTTCATCAGGTATTAATTGTGACTGTGATATGGTGGTATCTGAACTTCATGAAAAATGCTAAATATTTCATTGAGGGTACACACATAGGCCAGAGTCTATAAACAATCCTTGGAATGATTATGACAAAATAAAACAGGCACTTGTCATGTCATATTACGGGGTACTAGCTTGGTAAATCACACACACGTGTTAGTAGAAAAATGGCAGTGATTTTAAAGCTTATCATTGTGGTAGTGATATTTCTGTACATTACATCTGTAGTTCAGGTTAGTAGTGGCACATTCTTTTAGACAGACTAGTTCTAACAAGTGTACACCTATATAAATGTAA